TATTAATATCTCCAGGGTTTGCTCGGGTAACCTTGATTAATGATTGAGAAGAAGCGCACCAGATGGTTCTATTCTTCAGTTTTCCCACGCATGTGCATCAGTTTGTAGTGGTATGGATATCGTTTCATGAAAATATAATGTACGATACAACGAAGATAGCCAATTCAAAAATTATTCACGCGGTTTCGGAATTCTTATATTTCCTTTAAAATGTTCACGATCTATAATTTGGTTACTTTACTAGATTATTTAAAAAAGGGGGAATGGGGATCTTCAAAAAATACAAAAGCAAGATAGGTAGCTTAAAGTGAAAATGCAACTGCCAAAAAAGTAAACAAACAAGCTTAAGGTTTGAGACAAAGTGTTGATATTATATCCTAAATCTACAAATCCCTATTTTGACTACATGTCTAAAAGCTGAAATATTTAGGAGAGTCAAAATAGGGAGTTGTAGCTTGAGGAAATAATATCAATCCTTTGTCTCAAACCTTAAGGTTGTTTACTTTTTTTGGCAGTTGCATTTTCACTTTAAGCTACCTATCTTGTTTCTGTATTTTTTTTAAGATCCCCATTCCCCCTTTTTAAGTTAACAATTTTTAATAGTCTTGTTTCTTTATTTTCTTATTTCCATCATGGACATAAATCTGCATAATACCAATACTGTCTTATATGAAACAGTTTAGTTTAATGAAATACGTAGCTGATGTATGGTGCTTTCTGGGAAAACAATGACAACCTTTGGATTGGTTTCATGCAGATTGGATGACTACTGCTTATGATACCATTGGTACAATGTTATTATTGATAGTGGTACTGTATGTATGATCACTATTGTGTATGTTGATCAACATACCACATGTTATGTATAATATATATAGCTACTATATTTATACCATGTAGATATATGGAAAGTCTGGATTGGAAGGACTACTGAACTACATTGGAATGGTGCATGGACTGGATGCAATAACCGCGTAGGTTTTATACATGCAATGCATATTGGCTAGTATTTATTTATTTATACATATACACACACACTGATGGAATTTGGGGCGTGACACCTCTACGACCCTCTTCCACTGTGACAACCCTAAACTCTGGTGGGACGTAGCTGCTGCATACTTTATCTGAAACAAAATACTTTCTGAATAAATCACATAGCTACAAAATTCCTGCCTCATTTTCGCCTAGAATCACTATCTCCTGCTTGCACGATTCTTGCCACTCCTTATAGTAAGCTTCAAGAATGGCTACTCTATCTGCAGTATTTATAAAATTCGCAACCACGCAATGTTGGCTATAATTAGACACATACCATCAGCCATCAACGTGATTGCCGATCCGATACTCGAAACTGAGCTTGGTGCTCTCTTTTAACCTACGACTTAAAGATTTCTGTTGTGGGAGACAGCCTAGACGTTTTTATAACGTTTTAGACGTTTGTGTAACTGGCCGAAATCGATCATGCAGTAGTAAAACAAATCTGTGATCCTGTCAGCAGCGTCGTGTCCGAAAGTGCAGGAACCCAGTACATTAACAAATGATACGACACATCAATACAGTTGCAACAACAAGCTAATAATCGCTATGTTACATGTCTCATATATAAACAATAAATTACACCCATGGCCTGCACGCAGCTATATACGCATGCATGTAGTAGAGTATGAGGCTCCATATAAACGACAGACTACATTAAAACGATTGGGTCTCAACGGTTATACAGCCACTGTTAGTTGCTAGGTGGTCAAACTTAAATACTAACCCAAACAATGCACAATCATGTGTTTAGTAATATTGCCCAGGTTTCATTACAATACTCACAGCTATTTTTGCTGTAGGCTGGCTGAACAATATCAAATAATAATAAAGAAGAACAAATGGGCGATCCCTATTATGAACCATTACCTGCCCCTGTTTACCATAAAACTTTAGGTAACAAATACAGTACCAGAATACCTGTTTTGGCCCTAATGGCCAATTTCAGGAAATAAATCTGACATTAAGTTAGAAATTCGAGAGCAATATGAAAGTAAGTAATAATATTAAAAGCAAAAAAAAATTGAAAAAAACAACAACATTGATTTTAATTAAAAAGAAAAAAAGAGAAAAATTAAATATATGTGTATTATATGAAATATTTTATATTTAACTGAAATACATGCATTCTAAAATCGAAGTATTAATATGAGAATACGAATTAACATTGTTCGTTACAGCTTTTATTAAAAAAATCTTGGAAAATTAAAGATAAAATATTATTTAAAGAAGTTTGTTTCAAACTACTAAAAAATAGTATTTTTTTTCCCCAATAGATCATGATTTAGCCAAACGAAAGTACATTATCATTCAGGAGATTTTGCTAAGTATTTTAAATTTCTTATGGTTATTTTTATTTTGTAAAATAAATCACGTTGTGAAAGTTATTTCGTAGCAGTCACATTGCTTCTCATTTTATTACAGTTGTAATATAAAAAAGACTTGCACGATTGATTTGACTTCCACCAAAACCATGATGGATCATTACCCTACCGTAACGCATTTACTTTTTATTTCCTGACGGAATTACATTAATTGCAGAGGGCATACTAAAAAGAAAGATTTCATATATTCGTCATTTTCTTTTGATGTCAAATCATCGCAAGGAAAGGTTTATTTCAGCAGGTCAGGGAGAATAAAGAATTTTAAAAACCAAGATTTTACGATTTAAAAAAAATTAATTAAGTCGTTGGGGATAAAAATTTCAAAAGCAAAAACTCCGAGTGAAGTTATTGAAAAGGGGAGATGTTTTTCGTTTTTTTTTTCTTTATTTTTTTCATTAAATATATTTAAAAGGCAAAATTCAGATGTAACATTTACAAGTATTACTATATAAATCATCGTTGGGTTGAGTTTCTTAATTCAGCACGATTAGATAAAACTATACGACGACCAAGTAATATCAATTTTTGTCCTAACTACTAGAAATCAATTATAAAACAAATACTGCAGGACCAAACTCCGAATTTTATCGTTATATGCACCCAAGCTTACCGCTGAGCCACCATAGACGTATTCTCAAAGGAACATATTTTTGTATATGTAAAAAAATCAATAAGTTTTCCGAATAGACTGCCTTGAATTTCAAGTTTAAGTTCAAATTTAGCCTTAACTATTTAAATGCCCCCTCTCCCCAGTGGCACAGCGGTATGTCTGCGGACTTACAACGCTAAAAACCGGGTTTCGATACCCTTGGTGGGCAGAGCACAGATAGCCCTTTATGTAGCTTTGTTTAACTAAAACAAACCAAACTTACAATAATTAAAATATGTGAAAATAAAGCATTGTGAAGACCTTAATTTCTGTTTGTAATTAAGAGGGATTTTACCCTATACACACTTATATTTGTTAGGTGTCCGGATCACTATTTAATAGATTACAGTATTTATTAAAACAACAATATTCTTCCGAACAATAAAAGTGTAAATTATAGTGTATTTACTTTATCAAAACAATAATATTATTCTGAACAATAAAAAATGCAGAGAACATAGTATTTACTTAATGAAAACAACAATATTATTTGTTCTCTGCATTTTTTATTGTTCGGAGTATTTACTTAATGAAAACAACAATATTATTCCAAACAATAAAAAGTGATTAAAGCCTCTTAGAACTGTACATCACTTAACATCTGAATAGCTGAATGGTTATTCACTACCCCAAACTGTGAAGTGAGCTTTTACAGCAACTGGTCATGAATGTTAACACCAAAATAAAACAAAAACACGAACTGGACTGAATAACATCACAATGACAAAGCATAATCTTAAAACAATGCGAACAGCATCTCGGACTGTAAGGTCACTGAATCACTAGAATAATATCGTACATCAATTTATAAACTGGAAAATATTCCCTGTTTTAGTCGCAACAAGTTACTTTGTGGATTTAAAAATTATATATCATAAGTAGAGAAAACTTTTCATTGCATAAACATATTTTCAGCCATTTTGGAGAATAAACAGAAGTGGTTTAATTCGTAAATATTTATGCTGTTAGCGCATACTAGTATTGAAGTGAAACGTACATATGCCACTAACGTTTAAAGTTATCAGCAAAAGAAAAAATAATATGTGTGTATGTATGTATTTATCTATATCTGTGTATGTATTTCGTAGGCATTGACTCATGGTGGGATGCTGGATTTTACATCTATGTATAGCGGTAACGGATGATCCAAGGGATGCTGGATTTTTACATCTATGCATAGCGGTAACGGATGATCCAAGGGAGGCTGGAGTTTTACATCTATGTATAGCAGTAACGGGGAATCAATATCTACTCTGGTAACGTCTAGAGAACCTCTTGTAGTAATATCTACCCTAGTAACGTCTAGAGAACCTCTTGTACTAATATCTACTCTAATAACGTCTAGAGAACCTATTGTAGTAATATCTACCCAAATAACGTCTAGAGAACCTATTGTAGTAATATCTACTCTAATAACGTCTAGAGAACCTATTGTAGTAATATCTACTCTAATAACGTCTAGAGAACTATTGTAGTAATATGTACTCTAATAACGTCTAGAGAACCTCTTATAATAATATCTATTCTAGAATCATTTCTAGCAACTTTTATTTTAGTATTATGCACGTTCTCAATTCGGCGCGAGTTTCGAAACAGATCAATAGTGCAAGTCTGGCTGAAGCCAGTTTGTCGATGATTTTCGTTAGAAAGATGGTTTCTCATTAGTGAAGCGTAAGGCTTGTAACTGAAGCCGTATTTTTATTTCTCCATTCTCTCAACTATTCGAAAAAGGTTTGTCTTCTTTTTGTGTCTTTGTACCTTCAGTAAAAACTCGCCATTTCTCCGGACACGCACGAAAGCCTTTTCAGTCGGCCGAAGTTATTGATCGGTTTGCAGTCACCACCGACACTTTAGTTCCAATAGAGGGCGCTCATATTCAGTGATAACTGACGTCTTCGGTGAAAACTCAACTTGTCTCACCACCGATGCAGAGAACAGTTAAAAAGTCGTGTAGAAATTAGGTTCGTTCAGTTCTACCTTCCTCATTCCGTATCGTTGATCGTCATTGTAACCGTTTTGATTTCGTCAAGTGGGAGATGTCGATAATCGAATGGAAAATGTCGTCAACAGAACGAGGTAGGTTAATTAGTGAGGTTACGGAATTAGTTGTTTTTCAGACAGAAAAAAAGGCATATATATATATATATATCCAGACTTAACTATACTGGACGGGTTTCCTGGTTGATGCCTGTTTCGAGAATATGCTGATTTAAACCTGTTTGAACTTAAGCTAAACTTAAGCACCAATAACGGTACATCCCCGTCAAAAACTTGAAACATTCTAATATGAAAGATATGTAAATTGAAACTGTTACACATTAACAAGATGAAAAAGCAAAGTAAATTTTATATAAATACCAATACATATCTAAAAGTATGTGGAGAATATGTTGAAAATAGTTCTGGAAAATTTTACGTGATCCTCTCTCTTCGAATAAAAAACATATTGAGGGATGTTGTTTGTCATAACACGTCTAGCCTCCAAATTTAGACTTGCGAAAACACTAACTATAACCAAGTTTATCTAATCCTCCTTCCCTACCCTGCACGTGTCCCTAAAGAAAGTAATCTGTCTTACTCTTCTAGAGTAGGTGAATATAAGGAAGCCTGCTCTTCTCACTTGCAGTAAAGTCGAATACGCATGTAGTTATCAGCCTTACTGAATCTCGGTTTTTAGTTTAACAGTTTCTGAATACTCATGTAGTTATCAGCCTTACTGAATCTCGGTTTTTAGTTTAACAGTTTCTGAATACTCATGTAGTTATCAGCCTCACTGAATCTCGGTTTTTAGTTTAACAGTTTCTGAATACTCATGTAGTTATCAGCATCACCGAGTCTTGGTTTTACTTAAACAGTTTCTGAATACACATGTAGTTATCAGCCTCACAGAGTCTTGGTTTAAGTTAAACAGTTTCTGAATACGCATGTAGTTATCAGCCTCACCGAGTCTTGGTTTTTAGTTTAACAGTTTCTGAATACACATGTAGTTATCAGCCTCACCGAGTCTTGGTTTTAGTTAAACAGTTTCTGAATACACATGTAGTTATCAGCTTCACTGAATCTTGGTTTTAGTTAAACAGTTTCTGAATACACATGTAGTTATCAGCCTCACCGAGTCTTGGTTTTTAGTTTAACAGTTTTTTTATGTTGTTGACTATGCAGATTGGATTGAAGAACCCAGAAGTTCAAAAATAACAGAATAAACGAGATTTTGCGTGATTTAAAGACTAACTAAGCGGACGTTCACTCTCTAATTACGTGACGAAGACGGAAAGATACTACTATCTCGTTTAGCATATTATTATCCGAACATTTTCCTGTACTTAACTGAGAATCAACATGGCTTCGAGAAACGTTATTCGCAAGCGATGGAGGAACCCGATTGCAGTGTTTGCTGTAGGAATTTTTGTAGTAGGATTGTTGTCGTTCACACAGCCTTCCCCTGGTGGTTGTAGTCACAGAAAAACCAAGCTAGACCCTAAAATAATGAAGGACACTTATCGCTTTGGTTACCATTCAAGAATGACACTGAGTACAGTCGAAGGTAGTCCAAATGACACCAAACCACCACCCCAGTTCCCGCCAGACTTCTTCACTGAAACACAAAGAAAACATGGCGCTGTCATATTCCACGTGATTGGTCTACTCTACATGTTCGTCGCCCTGGCTATCGTTTGTGATGAGTTTTTCATTCCGGCTCTAGATGTGATAACCGAAAAGCTCAAGATTTCGGAGGATGTTGCAGGGGCAACGTTTATGGCCGCGGGAGGCAGTGCTCCAGAGCTCTTCACCAGCGTTATAGGTGCTTTCATTTCATTTGACGATGTTGGAATCGGAACAATCGTCGGGTCTGCAGTATTCAATATCCTCTTTGTCATCTCGATGTGCGCCATCTTCAGCAAATCCGTCCTACAGCTTACTTGGTGGCCCCTGTTCCGAGACGTCAGCTTCTACTCCGTCATCCTCATTATCCTGATAATCTGTTTCCAGGACAACATCATATACTGGTACGAAGCAGTGATTCTGATACTCTCCTACGCTTGCTATGTCACGTTCATGAAATTCAACGAACAAATAGAAAGGTTCGTTAAAAAAGTGATGAACAGAAACAAAATGAAGAAAGTTGGTAGTGCAGACCACATCATGCAGAATGTAAGTACTTATACTATTGTGTGATCGAGTAGTTGAATTGTAGCTGGCACACTGATCGTGTAGGAAACGTTTTAATGGCTACGGGTCACGAACAATGAATTCATAGCTAGGGCAATGTTACTTAGAAAGGAATTATTCTACGTAACTTCTTAGGTATATTTGAGTTTGTTGACACAATATTATATTGAGTTATATAGATCCATAGATACAATAGTTGGTTGTCACAACATTATATTGAATTATATAGACCAATAGAAACAACAGTTTGTTGTCACTACCACTAATAGCTCACAAAAGAGAAAATGCTTAAACAAGTGGTATTCTAAAGTTCAAATGATCTAAATTCCTCTCCTTACATATTAAATAAATTGCTTTAAAATCTAATAGTACCTTCTGTAAGGAGTACTTAAAAATCTTCAAAATGCTTATTACAATGTACTACAAACATATATTCGCTATCACCTACCCCAGTACACACATCCAACATCACCTGTACCAAACATACATACATCCAATATCACCTGTACCAAACATACATACATCCAATATCACCTGTACCAAACATACATACATCCAATATCACCTGTACCAAACATACATACATCCAACATCACCTACCCCAAGCATACATACATCCAACATCACCTGTACCAAACATACATACATCCAACATCACCTGTACCAAACATACATACATCCAATATCACCTGTACCAAACATACATACATCCAACAACACCTACCCCAAGCATACATACATCCAACAACACCTGTACCAAACATACATACATCCAATATCACCTGTACCAAACATACATACATCCAACATCACCTACCCCAAGCATACATACATCCAATATCACCTGTACCAAACATACATCCATCCAACATCACCTGTACCAAACATACATACATCCAGCATCACCTACCCCAAGCATAGATACATCCAACATCACCTGTACCAAACATACATACATCCAACATCACCTACCCCAGTACACACATCCAATATCACCTACCCCAAGCATACATACATCCAGTATCACCTATCCCAAGCATACATACATCCAACATCACCTACCCCAGTACACACATCCAATATCACCTACCCCAAGCATACATACATCCAGTATCACCTATCCCAAGCATACATACATCCAATAACATCCATCCCAAGCATACACATGTCCACCACCACCCATCCCAAGCATACATACATCCAACATCATACACCCCAAGCATGCACACATTCAACATCACCTATCCCAAGTATACATACAGCCAACAACACCTATCTCAAGTATACACACATACAACATCACCTACCCCAAGCATACATACAGTCAACAACACCTACCCCAAGCATACATACAGCCAACAACACCTACCCCAAGCATACATACAGCCAACAACACTCATCCCAAGCATACATACAGCCAATTACACTCATCCTAAGCATAGATTCATCCAATATCACTTGTACCAAGCATAAATACATCCTATCTCAAGCATAGATACACCCAATATCACCTGTACCAAGCATAAATACACCCTATCTCAAGCATAGATACACCCAATATCACCTGTACCAAGCATAAATACACCCAATATCACCTATCTCAAGCATAGATACACTCAATATCTTCTCCAAGCATGCATACATCCAATATCGACTACCCCAAGCATACATACATCCAATATCACCTACCCCAAGCTTACATACATCCAAAATCATTCAGGCGTGGGCCAGCCCTGTGGTAGAGCTCTGGACTTTAGAACTAGCATGAATGAGTTGGTATAACAGTCAGCAAGCAGGTTTCTTTGTCGAAGTCTGTTTTGGCAGTTGTATTTAATGTGTTGAAATAACTTATTGTTGTTTTTTTCTGTTGTAAGTGATTTTAATTTTTTCCAGAATTCTCTGGGTGACGGGTTCGAATCCGTTTGTAATACCACAAAATATTCCTCCAGTTTAAGTTGTAGGTGCGTTACCAGAGTAAAAGTCAATCCCTTACCACTGATGGGGAGTGGGTAGGTTGCTGTTGGCTGGTTATCAAAATTTGTAGATTTGCCACAAATACAAAAATCTTTCACCATTATTCTCTACAAAAAAATATTATTATATCCAGTGGTCTCTGGTAGAAAAAAAAAAGATGAGGAAAAATTCAGTACTTTTTTTTGTTAATTTAATCATCGACAGCTTGCACATTCAATCACTTGGTGGAGTTTTTCACGAAACCCGCCATGTTGGAACCAACATATGCTTAGGAAGGAGAACAGTGATTCTCTCACAGAAATGTATGTAATTATTTAAATTAAACTGTTAATACTCCGCTTTCCATTAAAACGTGAATTACTTTCAAGGTATTTTCTCATAAGCCAACCGTTTAACGATTAATCTCTAAACCTAATCTCGGAAATCTCTATTGTTGATGACGTCAGTTCATACATTTACGAAATCACAAAATTCTAACGCCTGTTTTTTGTTGTTGTTTTTTTCTTTTTTACCAACGAAATAGGCACGTGACCTAATTCCTGGATAATCGGGCCTAAAATAATTACATGCACAAACAAAGCAACAAATAAAAAGTCTCAGTTTAATGCTTTCACGAGAAATATGATCCATTTTATATATACACATTCAACAATTCGATTTGTCCTCACCTGTGAGAGGCAATGATACGTACGCTTAAAACACTGAAAACAACAGTATTTTAAGTAGATAGTTAGTGAGGTAGCGCGTTTACATATGCATATATAATACACGTATATTTGCATATTTGTGCTTACGTTTATATTACTATTTATCTTCTTACTTTTACTAATAAGCCTTCTCTATGACTTCTTTCCCTCAATTAATGAAGGTGTCGTTTTTCACCTTTATTTGATGGGCATGGCATTGCCAGGTGGTCAGGGCGCTCGACTCGCAATCCCATCAAACACGTTCGCCCTTTCAGCCGCGGAGGAATTGTAATTTGACGGTCAATCACACTATTTGTTGGTAAAAAGAGTAACCCAAGAGTTGGCGTGGGTGGTGATGACTAGCTGCCTTCCCTCTAGTCTTTCACTGCTAAATTAGGGACGGCTAGCACAGATAGCCCTCGTGTAGCTTTGCGCGAAATTCAAATCAAACCAAACTCTTTCTTTGAACACTATTTATTAATCTCCCCCTCCCCGGTGGTTCAACGGTAAGTCTGCAAGCTCACGATGCTAGAAACCATGTTTCAATACCCGCGGTGGGCAGAGCGCAGATAGCTCATTGCGCAGCTTTGCGCTTAACAACAACCAAATTTCTTTTATTCTGGATAAGGGATGTTTCCCTTTTTATCTTCGGAAGCGATATGTTATGTGTTATTAAAATCACTATGTTATATTCTTGTGTTCTATTTATATTTATTTATTCCTTTACGTCAACATCATTTATTGTTCTCCTTTTGCAATTTTTTTATCTGCATTATTTTTGTTTCCTCAGTTTTTACTTTTTTTTAAACGTTTTGTACATATGCTAACGTTCTACTACGTCAAGAGTTTCAGTTGCCTTTGAGGGCTGACCTCAAGCTACAAGAACTACTTTTTTATAGCTCGGAAGGATATCAAAAACAAATAAACTAATAACATTAACCTTGTTACGACATACACTGTTGTACCACTACAACAATTCTTTTTACACTGATACACAAAGTTAACCTGGACAGTAGGTTGAAACGACCTACTTATAGTTCGGTACATACGTCAGTACCACTATTGATTTAACAAACTACACCGTTTGTTGCCAAGGTAGATTGGTAACAAATACAAGATTAAGTTATTGCTTTTATTAGATGGTACATACTTACAAGGTTTAATAAAGTGCAGGAAATCTCGAAAAGAAAGGATGTTTAAGATATGCCGAAGAATAACAGTTCCTAGTTGCCCATATCTGGTGCTACCATAACTATTTGCCCCCCAGTGGCACAGCGGTATGTCTACAGACTTACAACGCTAGAAACCGGGTTTCGATACCCGTGTTGGGCAGAGCACAGATAGTGCATTGTGTAGCTTTGTGCATAATTACAAACAAACTAACACAATGATAGTTTATGTTCATGTTTTCAATTGATGGAATGAAGATTGGAAGGTTAAGACATTTATTATCAATGTTGTAATGACGTGGTGTTGAATTAAATACTTTTTTTTTATAGAACCTGTTAAACCTAACATAGAGTAATTGTTTTATTTTAAGTTGATGTTATGTTAGTGCTCATATTTACTAAAGTTTGGCTCCATATTAATGATTTCATGTTGTTTTGTATAAAAAAATACTTTATTTAAGAAATTAGTTTTTAAGTCTTTTTTTTTTAACTTTATAGTTGCATTTGAGCAGGGTAATTTACTTTGTAAAAATATGAGTTTTATATTTTGTAGCGTAAACCAATTGATGACATATCAATTAAACTTAAAGTGTATAATAGCCCCCCAGTGGCACAGCAGTATGTCTACGGATTTACAACGCTAGAAACCGGGTTTCGATACCCGTGATGGGCAGGGCACAGATAGCCCATTGTGTAGCTTTGTGCATAATTACAAACAAACTATATAACCTAATGATACCGTCTACGGGTTTACAATTCACATAGACTTTAGGGATAAAATAGAGGTTTGTGTCATTTCATTTGATACAGATGTTGGAGTTTTAGATTAATACACAAAACCCGATTAGGGTTGACGCTTAATATATTTGTGATATATATACTTTCAAGCTATTATAATGAGATGAGTTTAATAATATGTTTACGTAGCAACTCACACATACACACATTCGCGAAATAATATTGTTCAAGTCTTCATTAATTGTTAGTATACACAATAATGCCGTAAACGCGTGACGGCCACTACAGAATCACTTGGTTACGTCACTGATATGTACTTTCTTACTTATTTTCGTATTCTGAAGAAGAAATCATTTTCAACGGTATTTTTAAGTTGACCAACTAATCATATTGACAGTGTCGCGTGGTTTTCGAATATGCGTAACGTTTCATTGGATACGAAAAGAAACGGCGTGTTTTAAACAATAGAGTTTAACTGTTTGTTCAGTGTGTTTAGAAGTCTTTTTTTTTATCAAGTTATGTATAGATTGCGTGTTTTAAGTATTCACGTAACGTACTCGGATATTTACACAAAATATAAATTATACAGTGAAACGTGACTTTCCTGCTCACGTCATCAATATTGCTCACGTCATCAATATATACGGAATAATTTTTATACATGGCGAATCCCAATAAAGAAATTGTTTGTTTAGAATTTTCGCAAAAAAAAAAAAGGTTCAGAAGGGCTATCTACGCATATCCGGTTCTTAATTTTGAACTGACTGACTAGAAAAAAGGTAGCCAGTCAACAGCACCCGCCACAAACCGTCACTCTTATAGACACGCTTTCTCCCCCCCTCCAACTCCCCCAGTGGTTCATAGGTAAGTCAGTGGGTTTCAAACGCTAACAATTGGTTTCGATACTTGTAATGGGCAGAGCACAAATAGCCCATTGTGTAGCTTTGTGTTTTACAACAAACGAACAAACAAACTTATAGACACCATCATCCCGAAATACGGAGCGCGCTTTTGTGGCAACAGGACGCGAAGCTTAAATCATTAGCTTCACAGGTCGGGCACACTAGTTTCTAGGCAACGCTCAGTCCAAATGAAAATACAAGCAACGCAACACGCTGTTATCTATGTGGAAATTCATCTGTACGGTCACTGAATCAGTCTAACATTAGAAATGTGTATTGCAAGTCAACAACGGACATGCGCACTTTCGTCAAGTGTCCGATTGGTTGGGGAAGGATATTCAGATTAAATAACTTTGTTTATTGCACTTAATCCCAACAAGAAAAGGTCCATGAAATACAATATATTTAGTATTCTTAGTACCTTTAATACAACAGATTTAGTATCTTTAGCATATTTGATACAATACATTTAGCGTATTTAGTATCTTAGCATCGTTAATACAACAAATTTAGCGTCTTTGATACAACAGATTTAGTATCTTTAGCATATTTGATACAATACATTTAGCGTATTTAGTATCTTAGCATCGTTAATACAACAAATTTAGCGACATAAATACAACAGTAGCGACACAAATACCACACTGACTGTCAACATAGTTATCAGAGTTCATTTCAAAACATGCACATTGAAAGACGATAAATGAAGCACAAACCAAAGGAATGAATTACACAGGATATCTTTGTATTAATGATACTAAATCTGTTGTATCAAATATGCTAAAGATACTAAATCTGTTGTATCAAATATGCTAAAGATACTAAATTTGTTGTATTAACGATACTAAATACGCTAAATGTATTGTATCAAATATGCTAAAGATACTAAATTTGTTGTATTAACGATGCTAAGATACTAAATACGCTAAATGTATTGTATCAAATATGCTAAAGATATAGTTATCAGAGTTAACAGTATCAACATAGTCAGTGTGGTATTTGTGCCATTACTGTTAACCCTGATAAGAATGTTGACAGTCAGTGTGGTATTTGTACCGTTACTGTCAACTCTGATAAGAATGTTGACAGTCAGTGTGGTATTTGTGTCGTTACTGTTAACCCTGATAAGAACGTTGATAGTCAGTGTGGTATTTGTGTCGTTACTGTTAACTCTGATAAGTACGTTGACAGTCAGTGTGGTATTTGTGCCATTACTGTTAACCCTGATAACTATGTTGACAATCAGTGTGGTATTTGTACCGTTACTGTCAACCCTGATAAGAATGTTGACAGTCAGTGTGGTACTTTATATAATATAACCCGAGAAAGGGTAGATTTAAATGATTGCGTGTCGATATGTGTGTTACTGTTCATTCCTGTATTGGTAGTTGTGACATTAAACTTAGCCTACATACGTCACGACAAGCTAATGACAAATCGATACTAACAACCATATCAAGTAAGTCTTAACTGTATACAACTCATCTGATAATAACGATTTTCCAAATATTCCCAACCGTATAAAAATATTAAAACACAAAATTAAAACTTTTGTTCTGTTTTACTTTCAATGGCTTAGAACCACTTTTGATTTGAATAGTGAATAATAGAACTATAATTAAGTCGCGAATTCTGTGTTTCAATCTGAACAGTAAGAAATAAAGTCGATAATGTTGGTTTTTGTTTCTCATATAAAATTCAGAATATATCAGTCTCCTGTAGTTTTATTCAATCAATTCAAGACATCAAAGGCAAGCTATGTATAGATGGGGGTGGGGATCAGATACTGAATATAAAGCCAAATGAAGACTCAACGGTCAATGTTGACTATAGCTGCTTCAAGATACCAATCGTGTAAACAGTTTTGCTTTAACTTTTTTTTTTTTTTACCTTGGCGGTTAGGTCGAAATCTGAAGGTCGCAGGTTCAAATCCCGTCACAAGGGACGGGAAAACACATACTAGGGCTAATAAGATGGCTGAAGACTTGGTAGATATTTCGCTAAATGGATGAATTGAAAAGCTTCAACTCATCTAGTTTCGTTAAATTTACAAATTTCTTTGGCACAGTAATCAAGAACCCTGTCTTCTAAAATCTAGCAATATGCTCTGATTCGTCAGATAACGACGGTTTTAACTTCCTTATTATAATTTACTCTAGATTATGTTAAATCATTTATTGTTTACCCACGTTGGAACAAAATTAAATTAAAAAAATAAAGAGCAAACTTAATTTTAAAACTCAACATCTATCTGACCTAAATTTTCATAACATCCGGGACACATTCGTCTTTTATTTGTTTGTTTCAGAATTCTTCACGTAAAGTTATTCAAAGGAAATCAGCGCCCTCTACCAATGCTTGAGCTAATCTTGTCCTACCGAACAGTGTATGTAATCATCACTCTTATATCATACCCACAACCCTACAGTGGAGAGTGCATAACTCACACCAGGACCACATTCGTCTTTAGTCACTCTTATATCATACCCACAACCCTACAGTGGAGAGTGCATAACTCACACCAGGCCCACATTCGTCTTTAGTCACTCTTATATCATACCCACAACCCTACAGTGGAGAGTGCATAACTCACACCAGGCCCACATTCGTCTTTAGTCACTCTTTAATGTTAAAATACACTAATTTATTTTTTTACCTTCCCACAGAACTATGGCAAATCGAGTGACGTGTTTGATCTTATGCACTCCACCCAGAAACACGGCTTTATCTCGACGTCGCTAGCTTGAAGTGACCTAGAAGTTACCGTGGCGGGGTAAGGATCGAGAATTCGGCGTTCGTGTTGTGGTCATAGGTGGTCAGTTCTTCAAAATTAGGAGTCTATGACCTAGCCGTTTAGCCCATATGTGCATAAGGTGTCGTTCGGGTTGAAAACTCCAACGCCCTTTCGCGATCCGTGTATCTTTCAATTTATCAGCTCAAGGTCTGGAAAATGTTTAAATCATTTAATCAACCATGTGTCATAGTTCCGGTTGTTTGACAAAAACTCGGGTTTAGATGTTTGGCTGGAATCAATCTGTGTTGGGATCTCTGGAACCATGTCAAATAACATATACTACACCAGACTACTAATTACACAAACAAATAACCTTAAGACACTACACCAGACTGCTATCATGCAAACAATGTACCCTTATCGTCCTTGTGTTACTTGGTTACGATGTATCTGACAATATTCTTACGTAACGGAACAGTGTATTTACATTCTGTAAAACTAATTTCCAGAAACAAAAAGGTAAAAAACAACACACATCAATTTGACTTTGTTAAGGATATCAACTAGGAACTGTTGAGTAATATATCCAAATCTAGTAGGCAACAATAACACAAGAACTGTTGAGTAATACATCCAAATCTAGTAGGCAACAATAACATAAGAACTATTGAGTAATATATCCAAATCTAGTAGGCAACAACAACGTAAGAACTGTTGAGTAATATATCCAAGTCTAGCAGGCAACAATAACATAAGAACTTTTGAGTTATATATTCAAATCTAGTAGGCAACAATAACATAAGAACTGTTGAGTAATATATTCAAATCTAGTAGGCAACAATAACATAAGAACTGTTGAGTAATATATCCAAGTCTAGTGGGCAACAATAACATAAGAACTGTCGAGTAATATATCCAAATCTAGTAGGCAACAATAATTGTTGAGTAATATATCCAAATCTAGTAGGCAACAATAACTGTTGAGTAATATATTCAAATCTAGTAGGCAACAATAACATAAGAACTGTTGAGTAATGTATCGAAGTATAGCAGGCAACAATAACATAAGAACTGTTGAGTAATATATCCACGTCTAGTACGCAACAATAACAATTCTATTCGGTTATTGGATGTCTTGAGACGTAGGTGATTAAAAGCCTATCGCTCTTTCTTCCATAGCGCATCAAGCGGAGAATGAGTGCTCCTATACTACATGCAGGCTCAAAGTTCCGACAAGGGGTGCTGCAACTAATGATCCACTCCATCGACCCCTTACATGAAGGTAAGAGTTGAGAGGGCGTGCCTTCTTCTGAAATATGCTATATATAATTAATTACTTATTTTATAAACGCATTGAATGAATGTAGCTGCGACCGTAGTAGAATTGTCACATTCTTAAAATAAATACAGATGACGCTAATAGCATATTGTTTTACTTGCTTCGCACTTTTTAAGAGCTTCTCGACAGAGAACGTATTATATTATATTTTAATGTTTAGTTTATGAAAAAAGTCTAAAAAATAGAGGGCTTTAACCGTCCTTTAAGAGGGCAAATACTGGAAATACAGGGCGGTTGATAACCCTATTTATTTAGTGTACGTTCGTCTAAGGTTCTGTTTAGTTATTTCCTTAATATTAATTGTAGTATTATTAATATTATTTCCTTGATATTAACCATTTAATAAATGTATTTTCGTTCATTTCTTAATATCTTGATCTTGGAAAGGAATAAAATAATATTTTAAATTAAGACGCCTAAATTGAAAACAAAATACGAAATAAAAACTTGTTCCTATTTTTTTACCAGCCAGCCTTGATTGATACTCAATATTTTGATGCATCTAAAAAACAGTCCTAGACAAAGGTTATTAATTTATCAGAAAAAAAACGTCACGTTAAATCGAGCTTAGCGTAAATGAATTATGAAACAAGTTTGTTAGCTTTTTAACTCTCACTCTTATAACGCACTCACGCTACAAAATGCAGTACGTGATTTTACATCAACCGTGTAGCCTCGGTTTTACATGTAGTTCGGCACGCTAACCACTAGGCCACACAACAAAACAAGTCTTAATATTAAACACAACAATTCGATCACTATATAAAAGTTGTTACTTTAATTTACCTTTGTTGTTGTTCGGATGGATAAACTAACAAAATTACCTTAAGAGTACACTGCTTATCCTGCGCATTTTTAGTGGCATATATACGCTTGTAAATAACGTTTATAATTCCATGCTTTAGATTCTTTCCTTGAATTTTGATCTTTTATTTTTAACGAAATTTACAGATAATGACAAACTGCATCTATAGTGATCTTAAAATTGCTAAATTTCAACATTAATATCTTACTATTTTAGGCCTACTTCACCGTGATTTTCGTCTATGAAAACTTTCAGAGAACTCAGCTCAGCGTACCGGTGACGCCTAACCTATAGAGCTAAGCCTAACAATAAAAATGCATTTATATTTAGAACTTGAAGAAACTTAAGCCTTAGGCTTTTTTTTTTGTTTTTTTTTAAATCTAGGCATAAAGTATACGTACCAAAGTTTTTGTATAAGAACTTATTAATTAACCATTCATAAAGATAACTTGCACTAATTAAATTAGGAGCAGAAAAATGAACCATAACTTAAACTGAAGCCCTCGGTGGCTTAGCGGTAAACTTACAAGCTTTTAGCGCTAAATATCGCGGTGGAAACATGCATATCTCACTGTGTGGCTTTCAGATTAACAATATACAAACTTAAACTGCAGTAGTAATTTCTGTAAATAAATAGAGTCATTTTTCTATCCACTAATCAAATTAACACACTATATTAATATTCCTTTTTAAAATTATCTTTGGATTTAATGTGCTTTAACACATTCAGGCTTGTCTAATAAAATTAACAATTATGTACACAGCGACTTAATAGCCTCCAGATGGCGATCTACCCTCCTACACGAAGAACTCAATTCGATATTTTTTGAAACTGTAAATATTTTCTCCTTGTACTGTTTGCCATTAATTGAATTTTTAAGAAACGTTGACAAAAAGAAAGGCTTAAGTAAAGAAGCCCCCCAGTAGTGGCACAGCGGTATGTCTGCGGAATTACAACGCTAGAATCCGGGTTTCGATACCCGTGGTGGACAGAGTACAGATAGCCCATTGTGTAGCTTTGTGCATAATTACAAACAAAACAAATAAGTAAAAAACGCAGACGACAGAGAAAAGCATTGTGGGATATTGCACGCGTAATTAATATAATCGTAATTATTTTTATTACTATATTTTTTGAAAGTATAGCCTGTATAAAATTAATGCATTCATTTTTTTCCACTGAGAAAAATCTAGTTGATATACCCTCCCCCACCCCTTCTTGTTTTTCATTTGAATGGAGATTAAATGCGACACCGATAACTACCGAACAGCAATACGGCATGGCCGCCAGGTGGTTAAGCGGGTTCGAATCCCCGTCCCACCAAACATGCTCGCCCTTTCAGCCGTTGGGGCGTTATAAGTGACGGTTAATCCCACTATTCGTTG